TTGTAACTGTAAGTTAGAAACCATGGTTTTTATAGTTGGGGTGGGTTTTGTGTTTGCAGGGGTTTTTTAGCGGTGGAGTTTTTTGTGGGAGGAGGGTGGTGGAAAGTAAATTGAATCACTGGATTATAATAGTTAATACCTATTTCTTGCTTTTTTTAAAAAAAAAAGGTATTTTCACTGACTATAGAAGACTCTCAGTTAATTTAGGATAATTGCAAAAAGCAATAGGAGACCGTTTCAAAATTAGCACTACACTGGTTAAAACCATTTTAAAATTGTGAATTCTAGAAGAGTTATATGTAGGGAGAGACCTTAGGCTGATGTTCTGCAGAGCCCAGTTAAGCAATCTAGAATGCTGCTAGTGAGGGAGATTCCTCCACTTCTCTGGGCAACCTATTCCGATGTTTAACTGTTTCATTGGGGAGACTTTATTTTCTTACATGCAGACAGAATTTCCCGGGAAAGAAATTGTGCCTGTTGCGTCTTGTCCTGTCACCATGTGCCCTTGTGAAGAGAGTACCTCCATCTTCTCTATAACTGCCTTTTAGGTACTGGAAGACTGATTACATCTCTCCTGAATCCTTCTTTAGACTAAATAAACCAAATTTCTTCAACCTTTCTTCATCTGTCAAGTTCTCTAACTATCTAATTATCTTGTTAACTCTCTGCTGGACCCTTTTTTATTCTTGAGTGACTGTTTTGAACTGGGGGGACCAATGCTCTGTACAATATTTCAGGTGTAGACTGACAGGGGCCCAGCAGAGTGTAAGACTCCCATCCCTCGATCTGCTGGCTATACTCTTAGTGATGCAGCTGAGGATACAGCTTGTCTTCTTTGCTACAAGGATGCACTTCTGATTCGTGTTCAAATCCAGTTCATTTACTGTTTAACCACTATTGTATTTCAGCCTAAGTTGATGGATTATTTTGTTCCTATTACATTTCAACCTTGTTTCGGGAAGAATGTTCTTCCTCTTTTATTTTTTTTATGAGCACAAAGCAAGAGTCACGCTTGCAATATTTTTTGGTTGTGGATCCACCAGGGTGTTGCCCTAGCATCTTCTTTTCCCGTCTTTGTCATTTCTGTGTCTGTGGTCCAAAACCAGGACACTGCTTTTGTTAGAACTGCCTTTTTTAAAAAGTCTCCCCAAATACTAGAGGTGACTTCACTCCCATCCTAAGTATTAAACATTAATAGACAAGGACTGATAGATCTCCTTCTAGTTCACCCATCTCTAGAAGGGCTTATTCCTCATTTGACAATTTATCTGAAAGTATGTCCTTCATTTGCTTTAATACTTTGTGGTCTGAAATGGCCTGAAGAAGAATTCCAGATTAGATTCCAGCAGAATTATCTTAATAGAGCCAATTACTTAATAAAAGCAATAATAAAGAAGAAATTATGTCAGAATTTTAGGCTGATGTTCTGTTTACCGTCAATTCTTTCAGAAATAAGAGCTTAATGCAAGATTGATTTCATTATACTGACCAAGCTTTTTCAAAAAACCACAAGCAGTTAAAAGCATTTGGGAAATAAAATTGTACTGTATTTGAATGTGCCAGTTATGTGCTCAAAGCCCTACATAAAAAATTAAATTTTCAGTTTAAATTACAATCTGTCCAGTTTCTAGATTTGATTTTTAGTGTCTGACCAATATTATACTTTTTTAGTCTGAGAGGTAATAATTCATAATGCTCAGAGCAATTGGAAACAGAAACCAGTCCCTTTTAATTGTTTCCTTCCGTTGTATTTAATTCAGCTTCTCTGGATACATTAAGATTCTTGGATCATGGGTTTGTTTTCAGCTTGTTGTCTTAATAATAAAAGCTAGACCCTACAGGAAGATTTAGAATAATTGGGTATTCCAAGTTCTTTTTGAGAACCAACCAAATTTGTAGGTGAACTTTTTTAAGTGGCCCTTTTTCCCAATGTTTATATTAAAAATTCAACGTTCTATGGATGCTACTAATATTTAAAGTGAAATTTTTAGTTTATACAACTATAATGTTTAAGGGAAGATTACTTTCTCTTGCTTAGTTTCATTTACCATTTTTGGCACAACTTTATTCTGGTTTTCTTGCACACATGTTGGGGTGAGGGAATATACTTATAAAACTATGAAAAATGTCTCTAGATTTTGGAGGTGAGTACTCCTCCTGGTTTTTAAATCACGTGAAGAGTTCTGTCTTCAGTTCCAGTTGTTCTGTAAGTCTATTTTGACTGTTTTGATACCTTGCAATTTCTTTCTCCATACATTCTGAGCACAAGTCTTCCTTCTTCATCCACAGGTGAAACCTCTTGCCTGTTATTGTCCATCCTGACTGTTGCAAAGATCACTATTCCAGCTCATTGCTTTAACAACATTGTGTTGTTTGCTTCTCCTCTCTCTGTGCTCCCTTGTTTTCAATATATGCTATTGTTCTCACATTGAAGGCCGTGTACCCTTCCATCCCTCTTCCAGTACTAAGATCTCATCTTAGTTTAGGCTCAGACTCTTAAATTTTCAAATAAATATTGCTGTGCTTCCTCTGAAATGTGTGGAGTATCCTGGGAGAGGAAAAAGACATTGTAAGCTCCATGAGACACGGTACTATAAAACTTTATTTGTGCAGTGACTGGCTTTAATGGACTATGGTCCATAGAGTATATTCTGCAATAATATCAATTCTACAGGTACTTGCAACTATGTCCAGCATTAACTCACTAGATTGGAAACCAGTGTGTTAGAAACTGTTAATCAGATTCAGCAATGCTTCAGCATTCCTCCTTACTTTAATAAGGAATATTGTATCTGTACTATTAGTCCTGTGACTTAAAAATTTGCTAATGCTTTTCAGTAGATTTAACTAGCACCATTTATTTCTTTTAATAGTTTGGCTAGATGCATGCATGTATGTCTGAGCAGATCTGTGTTTAACTTAACTGTGACAGTGCCAATGGACATCTTCCTCCGCCCCTTCCCACATCACTTGGCCATCCTGGGGAAGGAGGGAGAATATTTCAGCCAAGGGGTGAAAACCAGGACCAAGTTTTTCTCCCTCAGTGGATTGTGTAGCAAAGGAAACGTGATCATTCACATTTGTTTTTTATAACTAGCTTGCCATAGATGACTGTGACAAGAAAAAGCCCCTCTCCCTACCCTTATCCATCTTATTGATGCAGATGTGATCCAAGTCATTACTGGTTATGGGGTAGGGGGAAAGAACTTTTCAAAAAGTAACTTTCTAAACAGACACAAGTAGGAATGTATTGACTTTAACAATCTGATATTTTTTCCATTTTTTTCCTTAAAGCCTTGTACTGTGTGTTGCATTTGTTTGCCTAATTTAAGTAACACTGAAAAAGTTTTAACCAAGCATTAATTTAAATCCAATTTCCTGTCTCTCTTGAGGAGAAAGGAGGGAGAGCTTCATTTTTTTTTTTTTTCTTTTGCTTTTAAATCTTCCCACCCCTGTGGCTTGAGGAAGCTGTGTGAAGAACTTGTTCCCACAGGCTGGGGGTCTCCAACAATGACATTTCCGTTTGCAAGCAGGCAGCAGGACGGCAGGCGAGGCTCCGACCACTGCCGCGGGCATTGTGAGCCTGAGCACGTACGCTTACATCACCAGAGCTTGAACCTGCATTTGGTGAACTTTTGTATAAAATGTGCTAAAGCTGAGCAGGAAATCGAGATTTCCCTCACATTCTTCTAGAAATTGCCTTCAGTTTTGTTTTTTTTCCTCTGTTGGAGGCGATTGCAATTGTTTTCCATTTGTAATCCAAATCTTGGTTTGACAAGAAATGCAACTGCCTTCGTTCCCAGCCCCCATGGCACGGTAACACTGATTCTGGGTGGGGTTTTCTGCATTAGAAATGACAAGTTTTAGTGTTTTGACAAAGACAGATGATGACTGTGAAGTTGCTGTCAGGTGAAAAGGTTGGCTTGTGTGACTGTGTTTCTGCAACTCTCTGACTGGAGGTTATAGTTCCTGCTGCAGTAAAATTTAAAAAACTAAGCAGGGGAGCTGGTTAGCTTCTGCTTAAGTCCAGTTCAGTGAGTTAGATATTAAAGCATATTTATATTTCTCCATAAAGGTCTAAAACATAACCTGTGAGTTGTTGTTACTGGTTGTTTCTTAATTAAAGTTTAAACTGACTGCTATCCACTTAGCGTCTTTACCATTGTTTGACTGCCAACAGCCAAGTATACAGTAATTTAAAAGGTCACTGAGGCGTCTTGTTCATAACTCTTCTAGACCAGGCTGACTCTTTTTACAATAATGCATACAGTCTCAGGAGATGCATTTGCCAGTGCCACTGACTTTCCTACTGGAACTAAAAGATGGGGAGTGCAAGACTGCGTTTTTCAATTTCAGCTGCAATCCCAAAGATAATGATTCCCTGCCACTGTCAGTGTTAAATATGATTATTTCCAAATGAAACTTAGGTTTTTTTGGTGATCTTGTTCGCATAAGTTTCTGTATAGAAATCGTTTGTTTAGAAGAGAAAAGACTTGTTCTCATCAGTTAAAAGTTTTGTCTGGATATTAATGCAGTAGAAGCAGAAACGTAAAATCTTACATTAACAGCCAGACTCACATATGGTCTGTTTCAGGGATTTTAGGCATACAGCTCTAAATTGTTTGCTTTTCTGTCTTGGTGTGTACAGTTGTACCAAATCTATACTCTTACCCTCTCTAGCACAACATTTTACACCTTTTAACACATACACGCACACACACATTTTGCACAGGGGGGGAGAGGGCGGAGCTTAAAATTACCTGGAATTAATACGTAAGATATCTGACTTTCTTATCGCTAAATTTTTTTGTTGTTCTCTAGTAGTAGGTTTTGGTTTCTTACCACAGAACTTTAGTATTAGTCTGTTCACTTTCTCTGCTGATTTCTTCAAACGTATTAAAAAAAAACAAAACAAACCAACACAAGTGTTGGCGGATTGGTAGAATTAATGCTTGTGACATTATGATTTTAATATTGTTTGGGTTTTTTTTCCCTTCAAGAATATAGACATAACAAACTTCAGCAGTAGCTGGAATGATGGCTTGGCTTTCTGTGCAGTCCTCCATACTTACCTCCCAGCCCATATTCCCTATCAAGAACTAAACAGCCAGGACAAGGTAAGACATTAAAAATCCCATTCCTAGGACTGCGAGATTTTATAATTAATAGGAGTTAATAAAGAAGAATGAACAAATTAAGAGTTCTAAAAAACCCCAGTATTACTAGGAATCATAATTGAAACACTTCAAACTACCTTGCTGCTATTCTTATTACAGCCTATTAATATTATGAGATCAATGGGTTAAATGGAACTTTGGAACAGATATAAGAAAAAAAAATAACAGAAGTTCATAAATGTAAGTCTGAGGCATTTTGTTTAACCCAGGCAATTGGGAAGTGTTTTCAGTTTGGATTTTGGAAGCCAGGAGTGTTTAAGCTTAAAGATTTTAAATCCATCAAAAACATTGTATCTTGACATGTTTTGTTCATCTCTTTCAATATCACAAGAATGTTGTTTCATCCGATTTTCTCACACTGATAAGTGACTGTGATGCTCCTTTCAGGTGATATGTATCAAATAAAGGTAAACTAGCAGATGTCAAGACTGTAGAGTAGTCTGTATGTATTCTAGTATGCTATAGTTAATATCTACTGGTGTGTCATCTGGAGATGTATTACTAAAGAAAAAAAAATCCTAAAAAAATAGAAGAATATTTCATTAACACAGGAAGAAATTTTTTATTTATGCTTTTAAAAGAATAAATAATTTATTCTTTAGCATTTTATATCTCAGGCATTCTTCACTAACAAGTATTTTTCAGCATTATCTTCTGAATGAGGAATTAATAAAAATTTTCTGTAAATTTTTGGACTATATGAGGACATGTTCATTCCGTGGCTTTTTTTAAATTACTATGGTCAAGTTACGGACTACTTTTGAAGCAAAAGTAGCAGCATTAATATGAACATTCTTAACAGCACTTTATTGTGTTTGAAGTAGTATTTCCTTGGTTTCTAACATGGTTTTGTATCTCATGCAGAGAAGAAATTTCACTTTGGCTTTTCAGGCAGCTGAAAGTGTTGGTATCAAATCTACTCTGGTAAGTTTTAAATGCATACTGAATGAATTATGTCCCATTTATAGAAATCAAATTATTCTATTTTTTACTTTCAAAAGATTTTAATGCTTTGTTTTTAAAAATAGCAGCAGATGAGCTCAGCTAGAGGTTATTGCCCCTGTATAACACTTGACTGAAAAACATAAATGATACTCCCTACCTCAGTGGCTTTGTGTAATAAACCCACTGCCATCAATAACTTAAGCTTACATGTTTTTTGCATTAAATAGTGACTGAGATACAGACGTGTGCTCCAGCTGCTGCAACAAAGGCAAACAACATGATAGCCTATAGCAGATACTCTTAAGCTATGAAAGGAAGAATCACCAAAACTTATGTCTTAGTATCATAAGAAACAATAATAAAGGCAATGGATCTGCTTAAGAATAATTTGAGATATAGTTACGTGCTAAAATTTTCAAGAATTCATTAATTCTCTCCTGTCTCTGACCTACTTTCAAGTTATTTAGGTTTTTTTGGAATTCTGGAGGTACAAATCAAGCTATGTAATTTGCTCTTTTGCTCAGTGTAATATGAGAATCAAGGTTTTAACTCTTAAGTTTAGACATTTAATTGGTCATCATTGTAAGTAATTGTAAGTTTTTTCAATTACTGTTTATAATAAGCTTTCTTAATCAAATTTTAGCTCAAAAGAATGAGTTTTCAACAGTACAGTATTTACGAGAAAAGGAAGATTTCTGAGGGTATAGAATTGGGAGAATCCCAAGCCCTTGCGAATAATCACAAAAATTCAGCTAAAATTGCTAGTATCAGGAATTATATTTAAGTGATACTTTTATCTAAATTCTATCAAATCAGCCATAGTAGCAACTAATAATACAACAAAGTCAGACATTTTTTAAAATAACATTTTCCCTGATCTTTATCAGAGCCTTTACCCCCCAGCACTATATTTGCTGACAACGGCACTGCAACTGTTGGGCTTTAGTAGTTTGACTTTGTCAGTAATTTGAAACATGGAATTGTCTTACCAAGTGCTGATGTAAGAACTAGATTGTGGAAAATAGCTGCAGTAGTTCTTACATATTTCAGCTTTAGTCTAAATGGTTGCTGTCTGTCCTTTCTGTTTTTAATGTCCTTAATTATAGATACTCTAAAAAGGCAAATTGAATAGAATTACATCTTCTAAGTAGAAATTGTATCTGTCTTAAGGATTTGGTATCTATTTACATACCTTCATACGCAGTGTGTATGATGCATATGTTTGTGGATTTTTTTTTTCCTTGTCCACATTGAATGGGTGGAAGGTGAAAAAGCATGTGAAAACTGCTGTATGTACGTAGCAGTGGTAATGTAAGGGGAAGTTGTTTTTTCCTGAATAAGAAAGCATTTGGCTACTTTCATGTAGAGAATTAAAAAAAATTACTCTCTCTTTTTTGAGTTCTGGAGGTTCCTGGACCCAAAGCTTACAGAATAGACCCTTACAGTAAACAAAAATTACTAGAAACTACATTTCTCTGTTTTCCTTTGTACATGTGATGAAAAGGGTAGAACAGGTTTTGTTTACCCTGCTTATTCACAGACAATCTGATATATTGTTACTGTGAAATATGTGTGAACTGGCCTATCAGTTAGACACTGATCGCTTTGTCTCTTGGATGTACCGGAACTGGTAGGAAACTAAACGTCACTCTTCCTTGCCTCTTTACTAAAAAATATGTATAAAGTAATCTAAAGTTCAGTAGTCTACTGTAAAATGAGATTCAGTTTATTGATGCTTGACTCTTACCCTGATATGAATTTTGCACTTTAGCTTCAGTTAATATCTGAGCCTTGATCCTGTGACTCACAGCTCCTAGGTAGATGGCACTGACTGGCGAGGCTGGTGTCGGGTATGTGAGCACTGCAGTCTGGACTGCTGTGCTAATTGTACTAAGTGGGGGACAGCTCCAGTATGCACAGCATTGGACATTTCAGTCTTCAGTCAACAAAATAACTATCCACAGATATGCTGTTCATAGCTGTTTACATTTTGTAAGTAATACAAACATGTATGGAAGAAAACAGAGCTTTCTTCATCAGTACTTTAAATTGTGGAAATTTTATGGATTTACCATTCCTAGGACTTTGTAAAAATGCTACCACATTACTCACAAGGTTATCATTCCTGATTTTGACCAATCTGTTTTCTGTGACAGGACATCAATGAAATGGTGCGAACTGAGCGTCCGGACTGGCAGAATGTCATGCTGTATGTTACAGCAATTTACAAATACTTTGAAACCTGAAACCCTAATAATTCAACCAATCCATGGGACAGAACCAACATGAGCTACCAGATCGAAATATTACCGAAATGCTAATCCCTGTTTCACTGAGAAGTGGCAACATTTGAGTCCCCTCAAAATTCAGTGACACTACCCTGGATTGTCTCAGATTGCTTCAGCTACTAAGCCTGGGAACAACTGTTTAAAAGCAAGAATTTGTTGCCAGAGTGCTTGGAATAATCCAAGTTATTAAGCTATTCAGATTAATTATGTAGCCTAAAGAGCCTGGACTACTTATGTGCTGCCTTTCCAGCCAGACTTTCTGAAGCTTTCTTTCCTAGGAGAGTGAGATGAATGGACCCTCCAGCATATAGGAGACTGAATGTACAGCTAAAGCTTTGAGAAGGAAAAGGATAACATGGCATTGTGTTACTGAACTTCCTGTAGCATCCTGATACCACAGAGTCTGAATATTCTACCCACAGCATATGGCACCCCAATACAGTAGAGTTCTTAATGGTAATTTAGTTACTGCCTTTACAGCTATTTTCCCTCCTTTAAAATATGCACAGTAATGCTAGGAAAACAAGCTTTTATTCCATAATGACAAATTGAGTGGAAAAGTGCTCTCAATACCTCGAAAACTTTGGCACACAAGAACTCTTCATTCTAAAGCTTCGTTATGAGCCTACCTCTGTCACAGTGATGTGGCTTCCAACTTTATCTTACGGATTGTAAAGACTAGCACATACAGCTCCTGGTTTTCAGGGTACGCTATACTTCAAGGAATCTATCCAAACTCCCTGTGCTTCCATTATAACAGAAATGAATCAATAATCAACCCCCATATGGCTTGTTCTTTCCCCTCTTCCTTCTTTGCCTGTATAGCACGCACAGTTACCCCAGGCTTTACTCTACAGCAATATGAGTATACGTCATGGATTTCTGTGGTAGAATTTTGGAACTAGGATAACATTTCATCTGCAGAGAAGATATTTTTAATAAGACATAATAATGAAGTAGTTTGTCTCAAAATCCAGCTTTGCCATGTTTTCTTTGTGTTTCTCATTGATCTTGCACATCCTCATCTGACTGACAGAAGGTGAGACATTCTCTGACAAGAACTATGGAGGAACTGATGTAATGTGTATACACCCAGTAGTCTCGAATATTGCGTGGAAATGACTCATTGTCACAAGGGAGGAACTGAGAAACTTTAGCCTGCTCAACTTCTATTTTCCTAAAATGTACCTGAATTCATGTAACAGCTCTCGGGCAAAAGAGTTCAAGTAAGTGCCTTAGCGATCATTGAATTGATACATCCTGGCACTTCAGGGCCTCTTGCAGAATGTTAATGGCTCAGAACGATTTCATATATCCATTTGTCATAAGCTGTTTATTGTAGTCTTGTTTGTCAAATCAAGGGAAGACTTCACTCTGTCGTTGCATCTGCCTCTTAGTTTTCTGAATACTTAGCAGCAATTAAGCCACAGTTGAACATCTCTCATTAATATTGAGCAGAAGCCTACATTAGAAGTGAGTTCTGTAACAACTGCTATTTATAAGCACATGCTCTTTCAACACAGTAACCCTGTTATAAAGAAAATGAATCTGCCATTCCTATGGTGCTCTTATGACTATTAAGGACAGTTTGAATGTCGTAGATGTTAACCCAGTGAATGCAGCTGTGCTTGGCATCTGTGAAACTTCATCGTGGTACAAAAGCACAGATTTAACTCAAAATTATTGCCAAATTCAAAAACCTGTTTTCTGAAGAATATAGCCCACGTGAAGAGTAACAATTCAGCATGTCTCTAGCAGCTAGTATTATATAAAAATACACTGATATGTGCCTGTGAGAATGATGAAAATCTGCAAAATAACCACTTAATCCATGCTGAGGGCCTTTGGAGAAGTTTTCAGAGCGGCAGTGTCTCATGCATTCTTACAGTTCTTTAGAACCCTAAAAGCAGCCAGATACTCTCAGATTATTGATTGATGCATTTGAAGAGCCAACATAACCAAAAGACAATTGTTGCAAGAGAGGCTTCAAGTGAAAAAACTACATTAACAGATTTTAATAAAAGTCTGAAATACAATTTCCCCTCCTGCATATTTCTTCAAAAATTTGTTTACTTCATTGCTTCGAGTAAGTTTCAATAAGAATAGTCTTATTGGAAATACGCATTATTGCTGTCTCGCATTCCATCTTTTACTACTAAATTCCAGGTTTTGCCAATTTGTGTTTAAAAGTTCTTCTGTTCATCCTCTGAACAGACATCCTTATCTATGATTGTCTTACTCATTGCCTTAGATTTTAAGAAAATAGTTTTCTAAAGAAAAGGATAGCATTTCTTCGTCTAAATTCACTCATGACCTATTTTGTTAAGGTAATTTGAGCTTTAAATTGACTTTTTTTTTTTTCTCTCCAATGGTCATCTTCATTTACTTGGAATGTTGTATTTGTCCTTAACTGAAATAACACTATTAGTATAACCCCTTTGTGAAAGGGTAAATCACGTTTTCCAGGTACTTTCTCTTAAAAAGATGAGTCTTCTGAGAGAGAGAGAAAAGTTATTAGTAATTATAAAAGTGATCTTGTTTTGAACTTCAGAGCTCTGTAAACTTCTTGGTGTGCTGCGTCTAATAAACCCCTGCTGAATTCATGTCTGTAAAGGAATGTCGGGCTCCAAGAAGAGGTTTTTTATAATGATTCATCTGAGCCTTTACGTGTAAGATGCTGCACAGCTGTCCAAGTGGAAGTAATGAAGCAATGGAAGATCTAAAACAAACATAATGCCCTGCTGCGCTCTACAACGTGTTTTTCCTGAAGGTTCAAACAGCGTTAAATTTTTCAAGAGGAAGAATAGCTGTAGCCCTTCTGGACGTGGATGTTACTGTTCTGTTTGGTTCCTGCTCATAGTTAATCCTGAAACAACCTGGGGTTTTGTACGTGTGAAGTGCAAGCTTATGCTTATTTACTTTCCTTTCTTTTTAATCCAGAAAATATTCCTGAATGTACTAAAAAATGGACAAATATTTTATCATCAATTTATATTATTTCATTTGAATATGTGCCTTGCAACTGCCTGCGCTGTAGTATATCAGGGTTACTCATTGCCAGCTGTAGGGGCGGGGTGGGCAACAAAATGGAGCTGTCGAACATATCGATGCAGATAGAGGTGTATCATCTTCTGGATCCTATGTACTGAAACACTCCCATAGGTGAGAGAGGTCAGTTTAGAGCCAGATGTGTATTTGGTTTGGCTAGTTGTCATCCCAATGCAAGATCATCAGCAGTGAACTGAGTGAACAGTTGTGGGGGGTTTTTTACTGAAAAAGAAGAGATGGGAGGAAAAATTTAATTTTGATTACTCAGGAAAATTTGGTCAGAGAAGTTTTGATATGGAGTATCTAACAATAACAGAACTGAGGTCACTTCAGAATGGATTACGCTTGATTTGGTTTTCAGTTGACTTTATTTGATGCAGTTTGATTTGGTTGTCTGGTATATTTAAATAGAAACACTAATTTATTATCTCTGGTGTGAATCTTGGTGGCCCTCACAAAGATCTCTCATTCTCGTGCTTCTGAAAAATTGTGAGTGAAATTTTCCCTTTTAAATTTGTGGGTTTGGATAGGTTATTCAAAGTATAGTATGTAATTACAGCATATTCTGATGTAAAGGTAAATTTTTGTCTCTTTTGCATAACATACATTCCTTAAGTTACATGTAGCATTTCTGATAATTTTTTGTCTGCAGTTTTGTAAAATATTTCCACTATTTGTTTTTCTCTAAAGTCCATCATCATGCTTTAGGGGTCCCTTAATTTGCCAGAGCTAAATGAATTCAGCTTTGGTGTATTGGTGTAAACTCATAGTAATACTACTGGCAGTAGTCATACTCTGGTTTTACATGCATAAGGAGAAATAAATTTGTCCCTTGCTCTAATGATGCAGTACAGTGGTTTAAACTGCTGAGGATCTGCCTTAAGAATTTTGTAACTGTGAGAGAAAATTCTTGTTGGCATCTCATTTCTGTTCTCAGTGATCTCAATGTTAACTTGTTACCTATTTTTTTCAGTTCCCCGATTCAACACTTCAGACATTTGGATTCTGTTGCATCTTTTGCATCACCAAAAAGTTACTTTTACACAATTCTCTCTCTGTACAGTTTTGGCCCAGGGTACAAATTTTATTATAAAGTAGTTTTAGACAAGGTTTTTTGGGAAGTTGGAGATCGGAGAACTTCTGGGTGGTTTTGGTACTTCCAGTGTTCTGCTTGTGACTGGTTTGGGAATGCTGTCTGGTTTTCAGGTGATACGTGACGATATCTTCCAAAGCTGCCCAGTCTGGACGGCTGCCATGAAGCTATACCTAGGCTGAAGTTAAGCCTTTGAAACTGTGTTCATGTGACGCATGTGGTGACTTCTTATCTGGCTCTTGCAACTACTGCAGTCACAGCTTAACTGCAGGCTGCATCGAGCCAGAGCTATTAAGGGGCAGAATTCTTCTGGGAACAAATCCAGTTGTACACCTTTACACTATTTTTTTGCCTGTTGTGAAAAATACTCTTGCTGAGGTGGCCTAAGAAAGAGGATTTTAAAATAGTAGTGTTCATGTACAGACTGCTTTAACTATATAGTTTGTTTGTGGTCCTTCCCTTGACTTGGTAAATATTTATTTCTGGGGTTTTTTTTATGGTCTGCCAAGCTCTATTTCTGCAATTCCTTTCTTTAAGCTAGCCTTAGTCTATGAATACTCAGTAACATTAACCAGTTGGAGAAATTATTTGGTGAGAAGTGGTATTAAAGTGTAGTCGTCATCCCCGAGGTCTGGATGTGCCACCGTGCTTTCCCCCATTAGTGTGTTGATTGGAAAAACGTGTTAGAGCTGCTTAACTCTATCTCCCATATAGCCTGCATCACCCCAGGGTGTCCATCAGGCCTTCTGGCCCCCAAATTATCAGCTCCTTAAATGAGTTAAGGATTCGTAGACATCTCTTAATATATTTAATTATCCCTATTTAGTGTTTCTGCTTTCAAAGGAGAGTGGCTGGATGGGTTTTAAATTACTGTCTGGCTTGCTGAGCATTCCCAGTCCTTCCTTCATCTACGTTTTTCTGTTGTGTTCCCTGTGATTTCAGTATCAGCGTTGTAGTTCACTTTGTAATTGTCAAAGCCAAGATGTTAAGCATTTGGAATATGTAGGAAGTATGCTTTAGATCATTAATGATAAATAATTTAAAAGATCAAGGTTTGTACAGTGCTGATTTCTGTTAGTGTTGATACAAATGTCTTTTTTTTTCCTTATGTATTTGTGCCTGCCAGTTTCTGGCATGCAACACCCTCAAACTCAGTTTGACAAGGCCACTATCCTAGCCTCCTTAAATTAACTCATTCTGCGATAATAGGATTATTTCCTCACACTGAAACTTCAGTAAAACCTATGAATACCAGATGACTTCCTTCCAACTGATGTTTAGCTTTTACTGGGAA